CCACAAAATTTAAATTTAAAAATAAACCGGAGGAAAATGAGCAGTGGTGGGATTGGGGAATGTTTTTGGGAGAGTCACTGCTGCAGGAGGGAAGGGCCTGGAATTTGTTTTGGTGCCTGGAATTTTTGGGGTCCCTGGAATTTTTTTTTTGGGGGGGGTCCCTTGAATGTGAATCCGATGTTTTTAAATTCCAGGAATTCAGGTTGAGGTGTCTCATGCTGGGATGAGAAGGAATGGAATAATCATGGAATATCCTCGTTGGAAGATCAAATCCTGACCCTGGGCCTACAAAAAATTCCCAAAATCCCACCCTTGGGAATGCGACCATTCCAAAGGGAGTGGTCAGTGCCCGGCCATCCTCTGGGGGAAGAATTTCCCAAAAATTTCCCAAAAATCCCCAAAATTCCCTGAGGTAAAATCAGTGAWTTTTTAAAGGAATGGGTGGGAAATCCTGGGATCCTTTCCCTGGAGGATTTCAAAGGACACTTGGGTGGGTTTTAGGGTTTTTTGGGTGAATTTGGCAGTGCCACATTTTCACTTGGAGTCCACGATTTGAAGGATTTCTGATATCGACAATTCCATGATTGGAATATTGGAATTTTGGGATATCGGAATGTCAGGATACTGCAATAGTGAAATATTACAATACTGCACTATTTGAATATTGGAATATTTAAATGTTGGAATATTGGAGTATTGGAATATTTAAATATTTAAATATTGGCATATTGGAATATTGGAATATTGAAATATTTTAATATTTGAACATTTGAATATTGGAATATTTGAATGTTTGAATATTTGAATGTTGGAATATTGGAATATTCTAGTATTGGAATATTTGAATGTTTGAATATTTGAATGTTGGAATATTCGAATATTGGAGTATTGGAATATTGGAGTATTTGAATGTTGGAATATTGGAATATTTGAATGTTGGAATATTGAAGTATTTAAATTTTGGAATATTGGAATATTTGAATGTTTTAATATTTGAATATTGGAGCATTTGAATATCGGAATATCGGAATATTTGGAACACCAAGCTCCGAATTACAAACCACAGCCCAAATTTCCTGTTTCGTTTCCTCCTTCCCCGGCAGACCCGAGGCGTTCCTTCCCTTTCCCTTTAATTTCCCGGCTTCCCTGGGCTCGGCAGGAAGCAATGGGGACATGGCTCCAGTTTTCCCGGTTCATCCCAACATCCCGAGGGCTGAAGGGAGGGACAGCGGCCACAAATCCCCGACTCCGGCCCGGATTCCTCTCGCTTTTATGGCGCTTCCCTCCCCTAAAATAACAACAACATTTTTTAATGCCACATTCCCTGACCTAAAATTCCGGGAAGGAGGAGGCCTCGGAGTTAATTAATCCGGGTTTTATTGGCCCCATAAACCCAATTCTTTGGGATTCCTTGGGAAGATCGGGATGGAGGATTCTGCAGGAGCTGCTAATTCCCGGTTTTGTGTTCCCACCGCGATGATAGCATCGTGACCTGGCCTTAGAAGGTCCTTAATGAGCATCGAGAAGTCCTTAATTAGCATGAAAACGTCCTTAATTAACGTTTGGAAAATCCTTTCATCTTCCAGAGGCTCACGGGATTTTTTTTTTTTTGGTGGGGGGTGATTATTCCCAATTAAACCTCAGGGAAACTGAGGCACGGCTGAGTCAGAGGCGGGGCCTGGCTCCACCGCAACCCCTCTGGAACATCCCCCAAATCCCCGTGACCCCAAAACCCGGAGGATTTTCTGGAAGGTTCCATGGGAAAAGCCATAAAGACTGAAGGGCGTGGAGGGGATGGAAATTTGGGAATTTTGAGCCTCTGGACATTCCAAAGCCCCTCCCAGGATCTCCAGGGAAGCTGCAGAGGGATTTTTCCTCCAGAATTGCAGGGATGGGACACAGGGAATGGGGTCAGGGTGACAGAGGGGGGATTTAGGTGGAATTTTGGGAAGGAATCGTTCCCTGTGAGGGCCTGGTCGAGGTGATTCCATGGATTCCCCATCCGTGTTGAGCTGGAGCCACCTGGGATGGTGGGAATGACCCCGAATGTGGATTTTTAGGGTTTTTTCCATCTCAAACCATTCCAGGATTCCCTGGGCTGGGTTTAATGGGATTTTTGGGATAAATCCATCCCTGGTCCAGGTGATCCCATGGATTCCCCATCCCTGTTGAGCTGGAGCCACCTGGGATGGTGAGAATGACCCCAAATGTGGATTTCTTAAGGATTTTTAGGGTTTTTTCCATCCCAAACCATTCCAGGATTCCATGGGCTGGGTTTAATGGGATTTTTGGGATAAATACTCCCCTGGCCGAGGTGATCCCATGAATTCCCCATCCCTGGGAATGTCGAAAGCCAGGCCGGACCCACGTGGAATGGTGGGAATGACCCCAAATGTGGATTTTTAGGGTTTTTTCTGTCCCAAACCATTCCAGGATTCCCTGAGCTGAGTTTAATGGGATTTTTGGGATAAATCCATCCCTGGTCCAGGTGATTCCATGGATTCCCCATCCCTGGGAATGTCCAAAGCCAGGCTGGACCCACCTGGGATCAGGGAATGTTCCTGCCCATGGATTGGGATAATTTTTATGTCAATCCAACCCAATTCCATGATTTTATCCCTGGGTTTTTAGGGAATAAAAACCGATTTTATCTCAGAGTTTTTAGGGGATAAAAACCAATGTTATCCCTGGGTTTTTATGGGATTTAACAATAAATAATTCTTCATATTAAGTAAGTATTCAATGATAAAGAAATACTCATATTAAATAGTTATTTAATATTAATTATTCACATTAAATAGATATTTCATGTGAAACATTTTGTATTCAATAAATATTTCATACGAATGAAATATGTAATACGTCATCATTAATATTAAATAAATATTTCATATGGAATAAATACCTAATATGAAATAAATATCTAATATTTTAAAAATAGCTAATATTCAATATATAGCTAATATTAAATAAATATTTCATTGAAAAATTAAATTAAAAAAAATCACCAAGAGGCAGAAACTCAAGATTTTAATCCGAGGTCAGACAAGAACGTTTATTTAAGTTCATGTAAAATATTCGTGTATTTCTAGAAATTAAGTTTGTTTTCTATGCACGTCTTCAGCATAAATGATTTAATTGCCTTCACAATTAAACATTTATAAAATACTCCTTGTACAACTTTCAGCGTTATTTCAATGAGTTTTCCTTTCAGGTTGTGGTTTTCATCTTATCTAAAGTACAAAAACTTTGCGTGGAACATTTCAGCTTCACCCAGCCGGGAATTCCTGAGGGATTCTGGAGTCAGGGCATTAGAAAAAAACGGGAATTCTGGCCACGTTCTGGAATATTCCAGAACAATCCCCATCCCGGGATCCTGAGGGAATTTCATCCCGTTTCCTTCAGAAATTCCCGTTTGGTTTCCGCATCCAAACCGGGGTGTTCCAGAAAGCTCCGGAGCCTTGTGGAAATTCCAACTTTGCGGGAATGTCACATCCCAATTCCAGGAATTCTTCTGGAGCTGGGATTTGGATCAGACTTGTTTGGGTCTGGATTCCCCAAACCGTTCTATTCCTTCTTTTATTATTTTTATTAATTATTATTATTGCCATAAAATCACGATTTCTTGGAATTCARTGGGAATTTTTCCCCATCCCAGCGATGGTCAGGGAAGGAACCGACGGCACCGGGAATGTCCCCGCGGGAAGGAGGGAAAACATCGGGAAACGCAGCCGGGAGGGGACAAAGACCCCAAACCCCAACCCCACCCTTTGCCCAGGGATTGTCCCCGTCCCTGTCACCCGTCCCTGTCACCCGTCCCTGTCACCCATCACCGTCACCACGGCCACTTGGGAGCCGAGCAGTATTTCTTGGCGTGGCTGGAGATCTTCACGCCACCGGACTGGGACGGCTGCTGGGGGACACATTTGGTGGCACTTTGCTGGGGGACACACTTAGTGGCACCTTGCTGGGGGACACAAATTGTCCCATATTGCTGGGGGACACACGTGGTGGCACTCCGTTGAGTGACACCCTTGGTCACACACTGCTGAGGGATACACTTGGTGACACTTTGCTGGGGGGCACCAATTGTGCCATATTGCTGAGGGACACACGTGGTGGCACTTTGTTGGGGGATGCAAATTGTCCCATAGTGCTGGGGGACACCCTTAGTGGCACGCTGTTGAGGGACACACTTGGTGGCACTTTGCTGGGGGACACAAATGGTCCCATATTGCTGGGGGACACACATGGTGGCACTTTGTTGGGGGACACACGTGGTGGCACTCTGCTGAGGGACGCACTTGGTCACACACTGCTGGGGGACACACTTGGTGACACTCTGCTGGGGGACGCACTTGGTGGCACTCTGTTGAGTGACACTCTTGGTCACATACTGCTGGGGAACACGCTTGGTGGCACTTTGCTGGGGGACACAAATTGTCCCACACTGTTGGGGGACACACTTGGTGGCATTTTGCTGGAGGACACACGTGGTGGCACTTTGCTGGGGGACACAAATTGTCCCATACTGCTGAGGGACACACTTGGTGGCACTCTGTTGAGGGACACACTTGGTCATACACTGCTGCGGGACACACGTGGTGGCACTTTGATGGAGGATACCTTTGGTGACACTCTGCTGGGGGACACTCTTTGTCACACACTGCTGGGGGACACATTTGGTGGCACTTTGCTGGGGGACACAAATAGTCCTATACTGCTGGGGGACACACTTGGTGGCATTCTGCTGGGGGACACAAATAGTCCTATATTGCTGGGGGACACTCTTGGTCATGCTCTGCTGAGGGACACATTTGGTGACACTTTGTTGGGGGACACATTCGGTGACACTCTGCTGAGGGACACAAACTGTCCCACTCTGTTGAGGGACACATTTGGTGACACTTTGCTGCACGACCCCCTTGGTGGCACTCTGCTGGGGGACACAAACCGCCCCACTCTGCTGCTGCGGGACACAAACGCTGACCCCCCCGGTGTCACCCTGCTGCGGGACACACTTGGTGACACACCTGGTGCCACCCTGCTGGCNGTGGCTGGAGATCTTCACGCCACCGGAATGGGGCGGCTGCTGGGGGACACATTTGGTGGCACTTTGTTGGGGGACACAAATCGTCCCATATTGCTGGGGGACACATTTTGTGACACTCTGCTGGGGGACGCACTTGGTGGCACTCTGTTGAGTGACACTCTTGGTCACACACTGCTGGGGGACACACGTGGTGGCACTCTGCTGAGGGACACACATGGTGGCACTTTGCTGAAGGACCCCCTTGGTGGCACTTTGCTGGGGTACACAAGTTGTCCCATATTGGTGGGGGACACATATGGTGGTACTCTGCTGGGGGACACATTTGGTGGCACTTTGCTGGGGGACACAAATCGTCCCATACTGCTGGGGGACACACTTGGTGGCACTTTGCTGGGGGACACACTTGGTGGCACTTTGCCAGAGGACCCCCTTGGTGGCACTCTGCTGAGGGACGCACTTGGTTACGCTCTGCTGGGGGACACATTTGGTGACACTCTGCTGGGGGACGCACTTGGTGGCACTTTGCTGAGGGACACAAATTGTCCCATGTTGCTGAGGGACACTCTTGGTCACACACTGCTGGGGGACACATTTGGTGGCACTTTGCTGGGGGACACAAATCGTCCCACACTGCTGGGGGACACATTTGACACCTTGCTGGGGGACACAAATTGTCCCATATTGCTGGGGGATACACTTGGTGGCACTCTGCTGGGGGACACACGTGGTGGCACTCTGCTGGGGGACACATTTGGTCATGGTCTGCTGAGGTACACATTTGGTGGCACTCTGCTGGGGCACACAAATCGTCCCATATTGCTGGGGGACACTCTTGGTGGCACTCTGCTGAGGGACACACGTGGTGGCACTTTGCTGAGGGACACACTTGGTTACACACTGCTGGGGAGCACATTTGGTGACACTCTGCTGGGGAACACATTTGGTGGCACTTTGCTGAGGGACCCCCTTGGTGGCACTTTGCTGAGGGACACAAATTGTCCCATATTGCTGGGGGACACACTTGGTTACACGCTGCTGAGGGACACACTTGGTGGCACTTTGCTGGAGGACCCCCTTAGTGGCACTTTGCTGGGGGACACAAATCGTCCCATATTGCTGGGGGACACACTTGGTGGCACTTTGCTGGGGGACACACTTGGTGGCACTTTGCTGGGGGACACATTTGGTGGCACTTTGCTGGGGGACACAAATCGTCCCATATTGCTGAGGGACGCACTTGGTTATGCTCTGCTGGGGGACACATTTGGTGGCACTTTGCTGGGGGACACAAACTGTCCCATACTGCTGGGTGACACTCTTGGTCACACACTGGTACGGGACATTTTCGGTGACGCTTTGCTGGGGGACACATTTGGTGACACTTTGCTGCACGACCCCCTTGGTGGCACTCTGTTGGGGGACACATTCGGTGACGCTTTGCTGGGGGCCACATTCGGTGACATTTTGCTGGGGGACACAAACCGTCCCACTCTGCTGCTGCGGGACACAAACGCTGACCCCSCYGGTGTCACCCTGCTGCGGGACACACTTGGTGACACACCTGGTGCCACCCTGCTGGCACTGCTGGGGGACAGCGGCGGTGCCACCCTGCTGGGGGACAGGGACCGTCACCCAACGGTACGCAACATTTGGGACCGCGCGCTGCTGGGGGACGCAGGTGGTGACACACCTGGGGACACCCTGCTGGGGACACAGGGTCACTCGCTGCTGGGGGACRCACCTGGTGGCACCCTGCTGCTGGGGGACACCCTTGGTGACACCCGGYGGCCGYGGCACGCAGGTGGTGACRCAYYTGGGGACAATCTGCTGYTGGGGGACGCGCTCSGGCGGTGGCACCCGCAGCTGCTGGGGGACGCACTGGGTGACACCGGTGACACCCTCGGCGCCCGTCAGGCGCTGCTGGGGGACGCAGGTGGTGACACATTTGGGGACAATCTGCTGCTGGGCGACGGGCTGGCACTGCTGGGTCACCCGCGTCTGCTGTGGCACGCACTGGGTCACCCCGGCCTGGCGCRGCACCCGCTGGGTGACACCGGTGACACCGACGACGCGCTGCTGCGGCCGTGGCGCCCACGTTGTCACACGCTTGGGGACAATCCGCTGCTGGCAGGGTCCGAGGAGCTGGCGGGGCACGATCGCGGGGACGCGCTGCTGGTGGAGGTGGCACACGCTGGAGGACACCGCCCGCTGGCAGGGGACAAAGCTGGAGACACATTGGGGGATGCAGGAGGTGGAGTGCCACCGCTGGGCCGGTGAGGGGACACCGGGGGACAGCGCCACGGGGTCCTGGTGGAGCGGCAGGACGTGATGCTGGAGGTGGCAGGACATGGTGGGGACACGTGGCACGGCTGGAAGGACACGGACAGGGTCAGAATGAAATTGGGGGAAGTTCGAGGTCACCCCAAACCCAACCCACACCATTTGGGGACACCTGAGGAGGTCTCTGGTCCCCAAAATCTGTGTCACCGCCCCAGGACATGTGGGAGGTCTCAGGGACATCCTGGGGACACTTGGGCAGGGCTGGAAGGACACGGACGGGGTTGAAATGAAATCGGGGGAACTTCGAGGTCCACCCCAGGTTTTGGGGACACCTGGGGAGGTCTCGGGTCCCCAGAAACCTCAGGGACAATGTCACCATCCCATGGACATCCTGGGGACATCCTGGGGACACTTGGGCAGGATTGGAAGGACACTGACGGGGTTGGAATCAAATTGGGGGAACTTCGAGATCCGCCCAACCCGACACATTTGGAGACACCTGAGGAGGTCTCTGGTCCCCAAAATCTGTGTCACCACCCCAGGACATGTGGGAGGTCTCAGGGACATGGTGGGGACATGCGGCACGGCTGGAAGGACACGGACGGGGTTGGGATCAAATTGGGGGAACTTTGAGGTCCACCCCAGGTTTTGGGGACACCTGAGGAGGTCTCGGGTCCCCAAAAACCTCAGAGACAGTGTCACCACCCCAGGGACATCCTGGGGACAACCTGGGGACACTTGGGAAGGGTTGGAAGGACACGGACGGGGTTGGAATGAAATCGGGGAAACTTCGAGGTCCACCCCAGATTTTGGGGACACCTGAGGAGGTCTCTGGTCCCCAAAAACCTCCGGGACAGGTCCCACCTGTGTCACCACCCCAGGGACATCCTGGGGACATCCTGGGGACATTTGGGCAGGGCTGGAAGGACACAGAGGGGTTGGACCAACCCAAGCCATTTTCAGGACAGGTGAGGTCCACGTGGTCCCCCCACCTGAGGGACTTAGACCCCAAATTCATGCAAAACCCCCTAACTTAATTAATTAATTAATTAATTAAACAAATTAATTAAAATGAACTCTCCTTGGCCCCAAATTCCCCTTTTCCAGGGACGGCTTCGGGACTCCCACACCCATCACTGAACACCAAAAGTCCCCTCCCACTCCAGCACAGCAAATCAAACAATTTCCTTTTAAAACCTTCTCCCAAATTTTTTTTTTTCTTTTTTTTTTTCACGGAAAAATCCGGAATTGATCTGCGTTTCGTAATCATGGAAGTCCAGAAGGGTTTGGGTTGGAAGGGACGTTAAAAATTAATTTATTCCAATCCCTGCCATGGGCGGGGACATTGCCACAATCCCGGGTGGCTCCAACCCGGTCCTGGACACTCCCAGGGATGGGGAATTCATGGAATTCCCAGAGCCAGGGCCTCCTGCCCTCACAGGGAACGATTCCTTCCCAAAATCCATCCTCAATTCCCCATTTGTCCCTTTTAACCCTTTCACCTTTTCCTATCCCTCCTGTTCCCGATGGAAAGTTCCTCCMCACCCTCCTTTCTTGCAGGGAATGTTGTCCTCGGAAACCCCAATCCCACCCCAAAACGAGCTGTTATTGTGCAAACTCACCCTTGGATCTGTCCTTGAAAATCCCCAATCCTGCCCCAAAATGAGCAATTACTTTTCCCCAATCCACCCTGGATATCTCCTTGAAAATCCTTAATCCCACCCCAAAACAAGCTGCTGTTTTTCCCGAATGCCCCATGGATCTCTCCTTGGAAATCCCCAAAGCCACCCCAAAGTGAGTTGTTATTTTCCCAGAAAACCCCACTCCCACCCCAAAATAAGCTGTGTTATTTTTCCCAAACACCCAATGGATCTCTTCTTGGAAAACCCCAATCCCATCCCAAAATGAGCTCTTATTTTTCCCAAACCAACCCTGGAAAAAGCCCGATCCTGCCCCAAAACGAGCTGTTGTTTTCCCAGGAAACCCCCAATCCCACCCCAAAATGAGCTGTTATTGTCCAAACCCATCCTGGATCTCTCCTTTGAAACCCCCAAAGCCACCCCAAAATGAGCTGTAATTTTTCCAGGAAACCCCACTCCTACCCCAAAATGAGCTGTGTTATTTTTCCCAAACCAGCTCTGGAAAAAGTCTAATCCCACCCCAAAACGAGCTGTTATTTACCCAGGAAACCCCCAATCCCACCTCAAAACGAGCTGTAATTTGCCCCAAACCCACCCCAGATCTCAAAACCCCAAATCCCGATCTACCCCTTCCAAACCCCGACCTTGGACAATTCCAGGAACTTTCTCCCACCAACCCC